CCTCCCCAGGTGCCCTGACTCTACTCCCCACCTCTCCCCTCCCCAGGTGCCCCAACTCCACCCCCATCGCTCCCCTCCCCAGGTGCTCTGACTCCACCCCCACTGCTCCCATCCCCTGGTGCCCTAACTCCAGCCCCTACTGCTCCCTAGTCTGGGTGGACTGGCCATGCCCCACTTTTTGGACTCAGGACATAACTGGGACTGGACACTGAGTTGCTTCTGGAAGCTGGACCAGGGGAAGCAGGTGAATAGTCAGGTGGTGATCTCTCTGGCCATCTTCAGGCAGCTCGGGTGTTGGTGTGATGGTTGGAGCCCAGTTCTTTGCATCAGGTGAGGAGATGCTCTGGAGGGTGTCATGAGGACCCCACTGACGCTTAGCAGTGGCAGCGGGCTGTTGGCAATGGGGCCTGTGGTGTCCACCCTGTTTTCTGCTTTCCTGATGTGGGCCTTGACCCCTGACACTGATGTTCAGTCCATTTGTGGGGTTGAGGTCACCCATGTGCTTTATTTCTGCACCAAAATATTAGTGTTTGCCCTTTAACTGACGATTGGGGCTGGACTATGTTGGTTTGTTTTCACCCTGGGAGGTGTTTGCACTTCCTAAAACACAAAATGCTCTGAGTCCAGTTTTACTCCATATAAAGGTGGGCAAAACACAAGACCCTTGCAGCTATGGCACCAACTTCACGCTGACATGAAACTGCTTTCACATCCATCAAAAACAATTGACTCTGAAACAAAACAACCCTGGGTTAATTGGTCTGTTTCAGGCACAGGTGGGTTTTGTATAAAAGGCCCAGAAGTAACTACTTCATCTTGAGCCATGTGACGCATATCACAATGTCCAGGCTGTGCTACTTACAAGAGAGCGTCCAGGACTTGTGAGCAAATGGGCTTGATGTGTTCAGATAAAACTATGACATTACAGTGTCATTTATTTCACGTGTCAGGATTTGTTATTCTTGCTTTGATTTCATTCTTTCAACTCTCTGAATTTTAAACACGCCCTGGGCATGCAGGCTACAGGTGCGTCACCCACCAA